GGCAGCTACCGCCGAAGCCGTCGAGTCGCGGAGCGCGAACGCCGCTGAGTCGGGCCCCGGCAGCGGGTACAAAGGAGCTCCCTTGTATTTCTCACATTCTAGGTTGTGGTCCCTTTCAACCATGAAAAACAGCAACAAATTGTTCCCAGAGCTAAACCACTTAACATCTTGGCACTCGGTTGTTTTTAACTTTGCAACAATAGGCACTGTTCACTCCTCTCAATCTCAGCTTTTTATTCGATAATAAAGCAGGAATACTGATGAAAGGCTAGTCACGGCTTCTCCCCGTGGTATCAGGGTGGCGGCATGTGATGATTCACATGGGGTGTGTTTGATCCAAGAAAGCCCAGCCTCTGCTTATTCTTCCTTTGTTCTGTCATCTAAGGTGGAAAGGCAGAGAGAGACGAGTTGTGGGTTTTTTAGTTTTTACTCCTATTTAGCAGTCACAGAGCAAGATACGTGTAAGCAAAACAACAGGGAGCGGAATTCTCTTCTTCGGCATTGAAAATTACAAGCAAGAGATGCCTTTGAAGCGGGAGATCTGTTTCCTGCGAACTCTGGATGGTTTATTCTCATTTGTACATCATTCTCATCCGGCGGCAGGTCCGACAGCGTATTATTTGACAGCTGCTGTCGTGTTGTGCGGCCCTGCAGCGGGTCAGCGTTTGCGCTCGGTGCTGTGCAATCGCAGAATTAAAAGACGGTCCCAGCCCCAGAGTTTAAATTTGGGCCAGGAGAGAACAGATTCAGCCAGAAGAGGGGATAAAGAAACCACCAGGATAGTACGGGTAAGCACAATAAGCAAGGGTCTCGGCCCATCCAGCCTAAACCTCCGTCGAGTTTTTCCCAGGGAAAAAGAGTTTTGAGGAGGGATTTGGAGAGGGATAATTAGATAACACTGTTGATGCCCCTGAAGTGCTTCCCATAAAGAAAACACAAAGATGCTTTTCTGAAGGTGTAACGAGCAAACCAGAGGTGACCAGCATCTTTAGCAAAAAAAGGAGCTGGCCTTTTGATCCCAAAGCGGGAGAAAGCAGGAAGGAGGTTCAGGGAGAGCGGGGTTTTCAGGGAGGCCAGCAGCTTGTGCTGGGTACAGGAGAGCAGGGCGAGCTGGGGGGGTGGGGTGGGGGCACAAAGACCAGGGTGACACAAGCAAAGCGACAGGCTTGGCGAATTGTTTTCGCAACAGCACTGTTGATATTCTTAGCGGGGGAAAAAAAAAAATCCAGGGGTCGGATTCAGCAAGCTTGGCTGCTGCTTCCCATCAGCACGCAGCCATTCCCAGTGCCACGTCTTTTTCACTGGCGGGCTGCGCAGGGCCTGCGTAGGCAGAGCCCTTCTGCATCCTTCCCTCTGTCCTCGCACACTCACTGGGAGGATTTCGTAACCGATTCCCCCCCAGCTTTTCTCCTTACCTGTTCTTCACTGGTGCTAATGGAGCACGATTTCATTTCAAACCCGTATCGGCCTATCTACTCAGAAAGCGTACTGGAGGGAAAGAGAAAACCTTTCCAAGACAGAAGTCTCTTTTGTAACCCTGTCCTGACCGGGACCTGATGAAAGGCAGCGCGTTTACCCACGCACGCTCAGGTTGCTACCCGCTGGAGGGCACTTACCTGCTCCTTGAGCTCGGCAAGCTGACCGGAAAGCTGCTTTACAAGGCTCATGGTTGACTCCAGCCTCTCTTGCAGGTTCCTGATTTCGTTTTGCTCGCTGTCGCCTTCATTGCTAACCAGGGACATCGCTCTCATCCGAGGGAACCAGTCCAAATTCTTCTCCTACACAGGCATTAGAAAAATTAGCAGTGTTAGGAGGGGGTCATGCAGTGCTACTAAGCTGAGACTACAGAGTGAAAACTCAGAAGAACTTTTACTCAGTGGATGACACACAGCACATGAGCTTAAGAAGTAGTAAATTCAGAAAGTATTTTACACAAGCACTTTTATTCTGGGTTCTCCTGAGCTAAAAAGAAGGCAACACCTGGAAAATCTTGGTTCGCCGCAGCTGCACCTGTACTGCAGCGTGGGCAGCGTCGGCACATTCACCCATGGCTCTGGCACGCAGAAACGCGCACCGGGTCAGCCCTGGGAGACTCCTCTGCTACACGAGCACCAGGAAAGCCCAAGTGCTCCCCGTGCTTTGCTCTGCAGTGTATGCAGGGACACACTTCCCCGCTGTCTCTTCAGCTTGGCTGGCCTCCATCTACGCCGGCCGTCCTTGCAGCAATGTCAGCGAGCCAAGACCAGGAAAACAAGACAAGCCAGAGCCCTCTCCAGACTGGCCTGGAGCGTGCCTACTGCACGAGCAGGGGGACCTTGGATTCAGCTGTCCACAGCAGAAGATTTGGGGTCCTGGGAACGGCTCAGGCTTCAGCGTGCTGTTCAGACTACATCCCTTAGGTAAACGGAAAGCACTATCCCATGGCCAAGGGTTAACCTGCTAAGGGCCAAGCCCTACATGGAATAGCGCTGGATTGGGTGTTTCTCTATCCATGGGCTCAGGCTATGAATTTAATCATCACAAAAATACTGTGAAGAGATGATATGAGTCAGGAAGGTGACGCATATCAGCACGAGCCTGAACTGTCTCCATGGCTCGGGGACACGGATACTTGTGTGCAAGGCATAGCAGATGGAGGAGACCGAAGGGTGCGGGCCTGGGAGGAGTGGCAACCATGTGGCAAGCAACCCGCTTTGCCTTGAGTCACGAGACCAAGCAAACAGGTCCTGTAGCTGTCAACGATGCGTTACATCTACGCACCTCTGCCCTCCACCCCGGGGGGAGTGGGAGGATGTGGTCAGATCATATGCCTGGTGTTTTGCAACGGGCCTCTACGGACACGTGCACTTGGTAACTTCAGCGGAGACACAGAGTAAATTGAAGTGTGTTTCTTCCAGTCCCCTGCCCCACACAAATACCACGCTGTCGAGAAGGAGTTCTTTCCAGGAGTCCGGCTACAAGACTCCCAGCAGGCAAATGCTGTGATAAAATGCTGTGACCAAACGCTGTCTGGGCTTGGTATTTGGTAAAGTTTTAAATGCATCGAATTTACTGTAGTCTCAGACTTTGCCTTGCCATGAAAACAGAAAAGCCAGCGATGATTCTGCGGTATTTACAGCAGGGCAGCTGGATGAGCAGGGTCTACATGGGCTGGGCTGGCAGAGCCGTGAGCGTGGGGATGAGCCAAATGAATACAGCTTTATCGTGCTCCCAGAGAGAGAGTTGCTTTCAACTATGTAGTGCTCTGCCCTCATCACCAAACCCTCCCCTCCTACAGAAACGTGGCTTAGAAACAACCAAGCTAGCCCTTGGTAAGCATGGAAGCACTTAGGGTATCCGTGCTTTTCCACTATTTGCATTAGCCCGGTCCCCTCTGTTACCCTGGATATGACTAACTGCAAAGCCATAAGAATTTTGTTTTCTTCTATTTAACTCAAAACTTCTCATGGGTTTTTGTCCGGCTGTGCAACCCCTGGTCCTGTCGCTAAACTGACAAGATGCTGAGGGAATGAGCCCGCGCCCCTCCTCGCATTTTGCAGCCCAGGGCTCAGTCAGCCGTGTGCGTTGGCGGAATGAGGCCTCTTTGCTCGCTGCCCACTTTTTGAGCCTCGTGATCTCATTATGACAATTTACTGTGGTTACGCATGATGCCATTTTCAATGGGTCATAACTCATTCAAATCAAAACCTGTTTTCACCAGCCCCGCTGGTGAGCTGGAAAGGAGCGCACGTGACCCTCCCCGCTGGATATCCCCAGCGGACACACGGAGCGGTAGGCTCCTATTCCTGGCTGCATGCGTTTCTGCTTACAAGACCAGCATTCATTATCCACCAGTACGCTCCGATATTTATTTCACATTTATTTTGGCGAGGATCTAGCAGCGCATTCGTCACGTGCCTAGCGTTACGCACAGGTGTACCCGGTCATACTAAGCTCAGTTTGTGCACAGTGCCTTCCTGGATCAATGCCTTTTTTTTTTTTTTTTAACTTGCAAAATGTTTGCCAGCAAATTTGTCTGCCACTACAGGCACAGAAAGTGAATTCAAAGGAGTTACAGCGAACAGAGCTGCGCTTGTGCCTGAATGTTTCCTGGGAAAGCTCAGGTATCTGCACCCATTACAGCTCCTCTTGCTCGAGGCACTGGAAGGTACCAACTGGCCGTAGGAGCCCGCTGAGGGCCCAGGAGCCCCCTCTGGAAATGCCCCCCCATAACGCCAGAGTTTCTAAAGCCAGGCTGCACGGGGTGAGCAATCTGAGACTCCATCACTGCCATTCTTGTGTTTGCCCAGTACTGCTGCCAGGATTGTGAAATGCACTTTGCTAGTTTTGTTTTCCATCTGCCACTCCATCACTTCTCCGGGACGCAAGGCAGAGACCACCGACTGCCTTGGAAAGATTTTTGTGGACCGACCCTCCACCGCACGGCAGCGGCCGGAGGAACAGCACACAAATCCATGCGGGTGCCAGACGTCCCGGCGCAGTGGGCTCGCCGCTTTCTCGAGGCTCCCACCTGCTTCCCTCCTCCTCGGCACACCACCACACTTCTGGGAAGAGGGCTGACCAGGAGCGGGCGAAGGCAGGGAGAGAGCACACAGCACCTCCCCTGCTGCCGCGCAACGTGCGGTGCTGATGGTGGCACTTCAGCTGGAACCACGCTGCCAGCCCATCTCAGCCACCACGAGCCTCAGAGTCACGGCAGCTCCGCGCGTGCCCAGCCTTGCCTTCCCAGCAATGCCGCGATAATCCCTCCCAGGAGAGAAACGCCGTTGCGGGTTGGTTACAGACCAAGAAGATTCGGGCATTTTTTGCCAAAAGGATGTGGAGGATCAAGCAAGGACTTGACCCAAGTTCTAAGAGAGCCCGATGGGTTTGCACGGACCGGAGAGCTCATGAAAAGATGCTACTGACTTCTGTGGCCTTTCCTGGGAGCAGGTGAGCACACTGGGCAGTCAGTGCTGTGCTGGGTGCCGGCAGGACGTTGCTTCTTGGTTCTCAACTGCACATGCGCCTAATGCAACCCCGTCCAGTTCATTATCTTTGTCATGCAAAACACCAGAAAGATTCAAACTTCAGTAGGTCAGTAGGGAATACATTCTAACCTGCCTTCAAGTTAAAAATCCTTATTGAGCTTTCACCAATAGTTCCACTACAGTGCACGCGGTAGGTGTGTTCCCTTGCTGAACTGCATTCTTTTGCCAGTCAATATTATCTTAGTTTTTCACTGCATTATGAACTGCAGAACTTTATTAAAGGACAGCACGAAAATTAGCTCTGGCGCACAGCCCTGTTTGCTAAGCCTGTGTCACAAACAAACAGCAATTGCTGCTGGGGACAAAAAGACTTTAGATCACAAACCTGCCAGGATCCAGAAGGCAAAACTGGACAAGGCTCCTCTGCTGAAAATTCTGGTGACCTGTAAGCGTGCACGGAGGGATAGGCACTCTGTGACTGCTCAGCTAGGGGAAAGCTATTTTTACTTCACGGTAATTGCTTGCCAATTAACTGGAGATAGTTAACATGTTTGTACAACCCCAAACATTTGTTCTGGGGCTTAAATGTTTATGGGCTCGGTCCCGGGTTCACCTTGACCAACTCGCACACGTTAAAGCTGCAACATGCCTCCTCCGTGCTGCAGGCGTGCTCCCACGGCACCGTCCCGACCGGTGCAGGGCTGCGATTTTGCGGTGTGTCATCTGTCACGCCTGAGCTATTTCTCTTAGAAGTCCAAGCGTTTTGCCCAGGATAGAGCTCATTTTGAAGCTGACCTGGAACCCAACAGCAATTTGGATGAGGGAGGTAGGCTGCTGGCACGGAGCAGGGCCAACATCTGCAAACAGCTGTCACAGGACTCGATCAACAGCCACCAGGTTAGCGCAAGGTGGCACAACTCGAGCGTAAATGAGCTCGCGGAGGGGGAGGTACGTGGATGGGACGCTTTAAAATGAAGTAGCTGCCTGGACACCGAATTAATTGTTAAAAGGCATTGAAATCCTCTATCTAAACAATGAGGGCTGAACACAGTATACTGTTATCGTCATTTCTTTCTTGCACATGATAGCAGCTATCTGCAGCCCACCTACGGATCACAGCATCTCCTCATTCCACAAGCATGTGTGCCTCACAGAATTCCTGTTCAAGCATCTATCTGTGTCCGGGGCAGAGAGTCAGCCAGACAGGAAGGCTGCAGGGACAGAGAGGAGCCGCAGCCTCCTCTCCGTTAGCTCAGCTGGGGAAAAAAAAAAAAAATAGAAAGGAATAGGCAGGTGGGGCTAGCCAAAAGGCTGCGGGCCAGAGAGACTGCACACGAGCAGAGCAGACATTTGGTGTGGCGATCCAGCACGCTCCCTCCCTCCATCCTCCCCCTCGGCTGGCGGGACTCCAGCGGGAACGACAGCTCACCTGGGGCGAGCACTTCTCCGCCAGGTACTCTGGGTACACGCAGCGGCGCGGCGCGCACGGCGCGGGCGCACGCCTGGGAAATCGCAGGGCTTAGAGGATTTGCTGCTTGCGCTTTCTGGGAAACCTCAAACCCTTCTTCTGGGAGAGGAATGCTCAGAGCAGAAGCCTGCGTTTGCCTCCTGGAGTTTTCTGTGCAACTTTCTCCTTCCCCTTCTGTGGGCTTCCCAGGGGGAGGGCAGAGCTACAGGCTAAGTCATCCCTTCGGTAAAGCACTGACATTTCTCCGACTCTGCTAGCTTCGGTCGAGCACGGATGGAGAGAGGTCTGACGACATTTGTTCAGAGTGTCTGTACTTTGTGCAAAGCCTCTCTCGAGCCAT